CTCACAAATATTTAAGCAAGGGTGTAAGGGCAAGTTGCCAAGTAGCATAATAACAAAACAAATGGCGCATTGTTTGTTGTTTCACAGTGTGTAGTTTTGTGTTGCCCCCAAACCACCGAGTGACTGTCCCAAGAATGCGACAGTAATTTGCAACAACGGCAGCGTCCTGTCTGCTTTTGTGACGTGCTCCAAGATCCTGAGAGAGGGCTGCGAAAGAAATGTTCTAAATGGGATTAGAAAAACTTGTGAACCCTGTCTGAACTTTTATTAGATTGTCCCACTCCTTACCCGCTTGCCATCAGAACAAGGAAAGCATTATTTATAACAGCATGCATGAAATCCCAGAAGGAATTCTTGAAAGAATTAAAGTGAAAAATCTTTCCTGAAAAAAAAAAAAAAAACTACAAGCAGGAAATAAATGATCAGATGGGGTAACATGTAAATCAAAATGTGAATCTTTGTTTTCTCTCCTGTGAAGGAAAGGGGAGTTTTGCCTTGCCCATTAGCAACGCATTGTAGGGGGCCTGGTGCAGAGGGTGGGGCTGTCAAAGGTGCCACTTGGTCACTGCCAGCTGAGGGATGGGAGAGTCTTGAGTCTTCTCCCTTGGGTCTGCAGAACAGCTGCTTCCCATGGAGGAGCCAAGCTAGCCGAGGTTCCAGAGAAGAAAGCAACACCTGGAAGGGACCTAAGAATTTCTAGAACACTTTCCCAAACGTCTGCTGCAGTGTTTACCTGTTGACAACTTCGAGAGGCCCGAGGCTACTTCATAAAGTTTGTAGAGGGGGCCGGTGTTGTGGTACAGCAGGTTAAGCTGCGGTTGTTACAATGCTTGTATCCCTTATCAGAGTGCCAGTTTGTGTCCCAGTTGCTCCACTTCTGATCCAGCTTCCTGCTAATGTGCCTGGGAAAGCAGCAGGAATTGGGCTACGTAGTAGGGGCCTTGCCATCCATGTGGGAGACCAGGCTGGAGTTTCTGGTGCCTGGCTTTGGCCTAGCCCACATGTGGCTGCTGCAGCCATCTGGGGAGTGAACCAGCAGTTAGAAACTCTGTCATCTCTATCTCCTCCTTTCTCTCTGATGCTCTTTCAAGCAAATAAAGAAATAGGTAAATAAATCTTTAAAAAAAAAAGTTTGCAGACAATTGAATTAAAAGATAGATTTGCTTTGGTCCAAAAAATAAAATTGAAAACCTGGTGTAGTTTTTCCATGAGCATGAGCTCTTTGGAGACCCTTATCTCTATTATTACCTATACTTTCTAGTTGGAAGAAATAGGACACAGAGAGTTTTGGCAGCTCATCAAACTTGCTTAATTAGGGAACAGCCAAGGGCACTATTGAAACACAGAATTTCTAACATCACGCCTTGGGTGTCATCCACTGCATTGCAACTTCTGATGCCCAAAGGGGATACAGAAAGTCTGATGTCCTGTTAGGTCAACACATCAACAAAGAATGTTTTTTAGCTAACTGACACTAAGAGACATATGTAAGTGGTTCTCTCTCTCTTTCCCATAGATAAATTCAGATTAGTTGAATCCACCAAATTAAGGCTAAAACCTACTCTTTCCTGCTGAACTCCTCAGAAACTTCACTGAAACTCAGTATATTATGAATCTGTAAGGCGTGAAGAGAATTACAGATTATCTTATAGTAGACACATTGGACGTGGGGACTCTTGGGGGAATCTAGCTCTTAACTAGATTTTGAGGGACTGGTATCCAAAGGGCTATCATGTGGGGTCGTAATATTCTGCTCTTTTGCTACACACTCACCCCTACACTCACACACACACGTACACACACACACAGACCAATGGTCCTTTCTTACCTTACTCCCACACATCAACTATACGAAAAGTCTTTCAAAAATTCATGGAAATGTGAAAAAAAACTATGCAGGGATTTCAAAAACTTTTACATCAAAATATGCTTATACATTTTTAACATATTTATTTTTATTTATTTGAAAGGCAGACAGAGAAAGAGAGAGACAGAGAGACAGATCTTCCATCCACTGGTTTACTCCCCAAATAGCCACAACAGCCAGGACTGGGCCAGGCCAAAGCCAAGCAACACCAGAAACTCCAAACTGGTCTCCCACATTCTTGGTAGGGGCCCAAGTACTTGAGCTATTAGTCTGTTGCCTTCCCAGTTGCATTAGCAGGAAGCTGGGTAGGAAGCAGGGTAGGCAGCACTCAAACACGGTGCTCCAATCCAAGCTGTTGGCATTGTAAGCCTGGCTTCATCCACTGTGCCAAAAAACCAGCCCCTAAATGCATCACAAATTCCATTTTCCCACCAATGTTGAAACAGTCTTATATATGGACCATAAATCTGGATTCTGATTTCAGTAGTCAACAACAAAAAAATATGTATTTTTATTAAAAACCTGGCCCTCTTGCTCCATATAACTGCGTTGAAAACTCTCTGGGCCATGTAGTTGCCTATCCCTGCATGCCTTTTGTCTCTGAGAATTTCTGTACAGTTCAAGGGCCTTCCACTTGTAAACAGCTACTACAGAAAGGCTTTTTGCAAGAACTAATCCATTCCTTCCCTAAGAACACTGCTATTAACTCCTCAATTCTTTCCAGAAAGATTAGCAGAGCTTGCACCTGTTGTCCAAGCTACTCTCCTTTCATGGGTGACTAAATAACCCAATTGAGAAAGCACAACATGAGGACAAAGACTCAGTCTTCACTATATATCCCACTTCTCTAAATGGCCAGGAGTTTATTTTATCTAATGATAGCTGAAATGCACAGTTGAGAAGATAGCACCACTGCCGTAGGCTGTGTTCAACATTGACGACTTGAGCTCTTCTTTCTAAGGTAGGAAAAAGGGTTAAAATGGGCAAGAGAAGAATAAGACTCACAGGGACAGGGGTTACTTTTCTCTTTGATTCTTCTCCATCCCTATTTTTGCATGGCAGTTTAGTTGAGCAACGCCATGTCTTATATTCAAAGAAGTCCTCAGGCAATGCTTGCTTTGTGGATGAAAACGTTCTGTTGGGTCATCTAGACCCCCAGTCCTGTTGGTGCCATGTGCTGGGAGCATTGCCTTGGGCAAGATCCTGTAACTACCTGGACCAAAGTCAGCTGTAGACTAGAGATGTGCTGTGAGTTCTGGGTTCTTGTGGCGTGCCCATCAAGTTGCACGGGGCCAATGCACACGTTTTGCAAAGCACAGGGAGCTTTTCAAGTACAGTTGCTGAGAGTAGCAAGGAGGCGGGAAGTGGGTTAATGATCTTTGGAAGTGTGTGTGCCCATGTTCCCAGCCTCTCCTGCTATGTGAACAGGGGCAGGTGTGGCCAGTTCTGCAGGGTCACACAACCAGTCCCTGCCTGGCCACAGAGCATTCCCCTCTGCTTGGTAGTGTTGCGTGGGCTGCCAGGGCTTGGTGGGATGGTCCCACCCATATGCCATGAGTTTTCTTGAGTATCCAGAAGTATCAGGTCCTGTATGTATGCTAACAGATTAGCTTTCCTGAAGTCCTAGGGAGAAAGGGGCCACAGGGCCATGCTGGGGTGACAGTTTGCCTGCCCCGAAAGGTGCCCGTGTTACTGCATCCTGGTTACTACCATGTCCCTTAGGGTTGATCAGTGCAAGGAGCCTGCTGGTCGTGGTTTGAGTGTCGACCCTGAGAGTCACTGTGGCCACAACCTTCCGACCTGCCAAGTTGGTCCAAGAGAGCAGTGTCTGCTTGTGGCCACTGATGGCCTGTCCCTGCTAAGGGACAGGGAGTGAGGACATTTCATGCTGATTGGAGTAAAAGCTAAATAGTGACAATGCAGGGGCCTCTTAACCCTAACCCAGAAGGTTGAGTCTGTACTTGTCAGATCTAAATTCACTGTACAGAGAACAATGGGAAGAAAGAAAACAAAACAAAAATCCCCAACCCTCCTACTTGGACACCCTTGGAACCTACTGGCCTCAGACCTACTGGGCAGATATGTGTTCATGCTTTCTTTTGGTTGTGTGTTGCTTTGCATCTTTGTTCGTTGGTTGGATTTTGAGAAGCAGAGACAGAAGACACACACACACACACACACACACACACAGTTCTCATCTGCTGGTTTACCCAAGGGCTGGACCAAGGCCAGAGTCAGGAGCCAGGAACTCAATTCAGGTCTCCCACACGGATGGCAGGAACTTAATCCCTAGAGACATTGCTACTGCCTCCAAGGTTCTGCATTAGCAGGAAGCTGGAATCAGGAGCCAGAGCTACGTATCAAACCCAAGCACTCCTGTGCCAGACATGGGCATCTCAATCAGCAGAAGCCGAGCACCCATCCCTGTTCATGGTTTTAAGCCAGACATCCCTGATGTCCTGCAAACCTGAAAAGGAAATCATTAATTTTTCTCCATGAAGCAGAGAATCACAAACAAGTCTCGTATGTCAGACAGAGTTCTCTTTACTTAAAGAGGCAGTGCCAATGCTGTTATCGTGTGATATGTCAGTCACGGAACTTTCGTTAAAATGGGCATTTAAAAAATATGCATTTATGGGAGTTGGCATTGTGGCACAGCAAGTTAAGCTGCTGCCTGTGACACCTGCATCCATATGTGCGCAGTTCGAGTTCCAGCTGCTCCACTTCCACTCCAGCCCTCTGCTAATGTTCCCGGTAACGCAGCAGAAGGTGGCCCAAGTACTTGGGCCCAAGAGTTCCTGGCTCCTGGCTTCAGCTTTGCTATTGTGGCCTTTTTGAGAGTGCACCAGCGGATGGAGGATCTCTCTCTCTCTCTCTCTCCCCACCCCCGTAACTACCTTTTGGGCACATAAATGAATCTTTAAACACAAGGAGAAATCCTGACCCAGGAGTACAAAGACCAACATTCTCTGCACCTGTAAGCAACTTGAGCCTCAGTTGCCCTGTGTGTGTCGTGGGAATAGTGACTGCTCGCCCACTACTGCCCTGTGATAATGCTGCTGGAATCGGCACTGTGCAGCTTCAGGTCCTAAAGCAAAAGGAACCTCAGGCCTTGTCAAGGAAGTAGTCACTGGTACATTGTTTGTTATGAATACAGCACTCCCTGCTGTCAGTTATTTTGTTAATTAGAGTCTTCTTCCAACCAAGAAGTATGGGTAAGGGTTTCTATCTATCTATCTGGTTATATATAGGTATATAGAGATATATAATATAGATGTAGATAGATGATATATGGTAATATATAAGGTAAGAATCTACCTAATCAATTATCATATTTGCTCCTCGCTCATTCTGAGAGAAAGAGAATTTCAAATAATATTTTTAAAAGTATTTTTGACGATGGGATCAGCATTGGGAAGGGGGGAGGTTAAACCACTTCTTGTGACACTGACGTCCCAGGCGCTCCACTTATGATCCAGCTGCCTGCTCATGTGCCTGGGAAAGCAGTGGAAGATGGCCCAAGTGCTTGGGTCCTTGCATCCGTGTGGGAGACTTGGATGGAGTTCTTCAATCCTGGCTTCACTCTGGCCCAGACTTGGCTGTTGCACTAGGGAGTGAACCAGTGGATGGAAGATGTCTTGTTCTCTTTCCTTCTCCTCTTTTCTCTGCCACTCTGCATTTCAAATATATAAGCAAATAAATAAACCTTTAATAAAAATAGTTTCACCTTCCTCTGCACTCTGTATCAGTTGATTGTGAATGGAAGAAATCATAGATTCTTTAATGTGTTTATAATCAATTAAAATGTATCAATACAAATAAGGAAAGACCCTCCCTCTCTGGGGTGACTGATGTCTCCTTGTTGACCCCTTTGCCCCCAGGTCGGTGGCCACACAATGCTGCCCATTCGTTGGATGCCTCCGGAGAGCATCATGTACAGGAAGTTCACCACCGAGAGTGACGTCTGGAGCCTGGGGGTCGTGTTGTGGGAGATCTTCACCTACGGCAAACAGCCCTGGTACCAGCTGTCAAACAACGAGGTGTGTGATGGGTCTGCCGGGAGGAGTCCCAGAGGGCTGGGACCCCAGAGGAAGCCCTCGGCTGGGGCCTTCTCCAGGGTGAGAAGTCAGAACCTGATCTCATGTGTGCATGAGATCAATTCTCTTCCCAAATAGCATGCTCTGCCCCTCAGCTTCATAGCCAGGGTACAGTCCTCCTAGAGTTAAGATGTGGTGAGGAAAACGAGCCTCATGGTTGCTGATGCGTCCTTGTGCCTGATGAATTACCAGAAGGTGTATCTGCTAGCACCACTGAAGCCCAGCCTATCTTGGGTGGACTCTTCCAATGACATTTTAAGGTTATTTCATTCTTGCACAACTCACTGGAACATTTACTTCTGGTGGAAAAACTCAAGCATTTTGATTTTATATCCTAAACCTTTCGCAAATACAGTTATCCAGTGTTATCTATGGGGAGTTGGTTCCAGTCCCCCGAGGGTATACCCAAATCCACGGACGCCCAAATCCCTCCTTTAAAGTGGCACAAGACCTGCAAATAACCTACCTACGTAATCTTCCTACATACTTCAAATCACCTCCAGCTTCCTTATCATACCTACAGAATGTAAACATGTTACATAAATGTGCATGTTTTTGTCCTGAATATTTTTGATCTGCAGTTAGTTGAAACTACAGATATGAGCCCCGTGGAGCAGAGAGCTGAGCGTTTATCTATTTGAGGCACGGCTTCTCAGTCAGGCATCTCACACCTTTTATAAACCCATGTCTGTTCTTCATCCAATTCTACTTTATCCAGAATGAGTGCTCATTTCTTTGAGCCAGAAGTGATTCAGATCCATCTCAGTCCTGTAAAACACTTGAGGTTTCCAGTGGGAGGTTTAGGAACCCTTCATATGAATATTCCTCTACCACTGTCGTGAAACCAAAGTAGCTTGGAAAACCAATCAAGTTAACCTCGATGCCAACAACCTATACTAATTGTTCTCTTCCTTCTGAGAAAATCAGACAGTAAGTGGGCTTCTTAGGAATAAAAAGCCCTCTCTCAGGCAGGAGTGGGGAATTTCCTGCCAGTAGACCATCTGAAGCCTGCAAAATCATTTGGTCTGGCCCTGCCAAGGAACCCAAAGGCAGGACTTGAAATTCAGTAAATCGATCGCAGGCTAATATTTAGGTTGATGATTTTGTGTTTTTCACAAGTGATGAAACACCCAAAATGAAATGAAATGAAATATCCAAATGGTCTTTGGCAGAAAGAAGTTTCCCCACCCCTGCAGATGAAGGGTAGGGGAGAGAGGTAGAGGACAGAGGGGTTGGATAACAGTGAGTACCATTCGGTTATACCCCAGGACTAGGTTCCGATGCTCTTTAGCATAGCTGAGTAGCTCTCGTCCCAACAACTGAATGTGTGTTTTATGAAGGCCTAGAAGAGCAATGATCAACACAGAGTAACGGTCACTCAACACAGAGTAACGGTCACTCAACACAGAGCAATGATAACTCTTCACTCTGATTGGATCACGGCATGTCATCTATGAGTACCTGCTGATCACAATGTCTTCCAAAGATCTGTGTGTGTTATTCATCAGTTGTTAGAAGCCCCCTCTCCGGCTGCCCCTTTGCACTGTGTTTGCATGTGTCTGTGGCTGACCTGTCTCTGCTCTCCGTCCAGGTGATAGAATGCATCACGCAGGGCCGGGTCCTGCAGCGGCCTCGCACCTGTCCCCAGGAGGTGTACGAGCTGATGCTGGGGTGCTGGCAACGAGAGCCCCACATGAGGAAGAGCATTAAGGACATCCACACTCTCCTTCAGAACTTGGCCAAGGCGTCTCCAGTCTACCTGGACATTCTAGGCTAGGGCCCTCTCCCCAAGACCGACCGTTCCCGACACACTCCTCAGACGGGCCAAGAGGATGAACATCTTTCAACTGCCGCTGGATGCCATCCGACTGCTCCCCTTCATGCTGCCAGTGCTCACAGCAAAGACCCCAAGAAGCTTTCAGAGGGAAGCAATGTGGACTTCTCCATCCATAAACACAATATCGACTTCTTTTTAGCTCGTACGCTCTTTCTCTCTCCTCTCTCTCTCTCTCTCCCTCCCTCTCCCTCCCTCTCTCTCTCTCCCCCTGGTTTATTCCTTTCTTTGTTCTTTTTTCTTCTCCACCTCCCAGTTTTTGGGTCTTCCCTGCTTCACAGTCCATACCCTTTCTTTTTAATCAATCTGGCTTCTGCATTCCTATTAACTCTGCCTTAACAAACCTGATTTGTGATATCAAAAGATACTCCAGTTTGCCCACCACAACTAACAATGCCTTGTTGTATTCCTGCCTTTGATGTGGATGAAAAAAAGGGAAAACAAATAATTGACTTACACTTTGTCACTTCTGCTGTACAGACATCGAGAGTTTCTATGGATTCACTTCTATTTATTTATTATTATTACTGTTCTTCTTGGTTTTGGATGGCTTACACCTGTGTGTGAAAAGGAAGACTTGTGTTCAATCTGGGATGACTTTTCTTATGCAAGATTTAAAAGCAGAGAGAAAGGAGATTTGGGCCAAACTGCAGTATGGGAGCAACAAACACAACCATTGGCATCAGCTGGCATCAGTTCCGACTTAGGAAAAAACCCAGCAGCCGTTCCCTGGGAGGGATGTACCCGGCATGGTCCTCTGAGGACCTCTCTGAGGAGTAAAAGACGGTTGAACTCTGTGCCATGGACTACTCTCTTCCCGTCACCAGAAATCCTAGCGTGCGGTCCACAGACCGGGCGGCTTCCACGAGACACAAGACAGCACGTCACATGCTCAGACATTGTCCTGTCCTTATTGGTCTCGGTGATCGCACTGGTTTGTTCCTCAAGTGCTATCCACTGAGCCTTTGTCAAGTTCAGTTGAAAACAGGTGGATTCTTGTCCAGAGGTCATTTCAGGGTCAGGTGGGAAAGCCAAGGACTTGGAAAAAAAAATAAGACAATCTCTCAATTCGGAGGCAAGTTTCTCTAACATTGAACTTCTCAGATAGTACTTCTCCCTGACCCCAACCCCTCACTCTCACCCACCCTTTTAACTGTGCAAGCAAAACTGTGCATGGTCTTCGTCACTTAATATCTTGTGTGCAGGAACTGCAGCTCCAGATGTGGTGCCCCAGCTAGGGAGAGCACAGGTGTGCAAAAGGCATGACTGGTATCATTCGGGGACGCTGCTGGCGTCCATGCGCGGAGGATCCATGTCTCTGCATTGTGTAGTGGTGATGGGCTTGAATGACTGTGGACCCCGAAAGGGATCTCCTCCTCCAATCGAACCCGTGGGACTGTGGGAAGGGCAGAATCCATCCCCGAGGGAAAGGAACCCTCACGCGGGGACATCACGTGCGTTCACGTTCTGTGTCCACAGGTCGGGTCCCTTGTTCTGGGCTCTGGTTGGCAGAGGGCTCTCATTCCACGTGTACCATTGTCAGTTGTGTGGTTATGTTTCCCTCACTCCATCACGAAAGCAAAAACAGCAAAATTTGGCACAGCAGCCCGACTGCTGCAGGTGTGTGTCCGGGCGCAGTTGATGGGTTTGCAAAAAGAGGTATACATTTAAATAGAAATGTACAGTGATTGGGATGGGTGAGTCCTACCAAGGAAGACAAACATTTCTGTTCCTCAAGAAAACTTGATACCCTCTGTGAGGGGAATTTTGCTAAACTTGATATCTTTCTAACTCGAGCCAGATTGAAAGGGAGTGATTTTCATTCATCCAAGGTCATTTTATTTGGCGTTCGTTTTGGAAGGTTCAGGGGCTCTGTTTCGGTTTTGCTTGTGCCAGTTCATGGCTGGAGCACTTTGTTTTCCACTGCAGGCTTTGTAGCCAGTTCTCCAGAACCCAGAAGTGTAAATTCACAGAGAACAAAAAGAAACCCAGTAGCATCAACTGAGAGGGCTGGACAAGACGACCGGGCTGGTCCCTGAAGGGTCTGTGCTGGCCTTTGCGGGAACTGAGTCACTTGCTCTCTGCCAGTGACAACAACCCCTCCGGAAATCACATCATAATATAATGAAAGCCATACTCCATGATATATGCGTGTATGTATATATCATACCAAGGGCCCATGGCACTGCTAACACACTGTGGAACTCTGGGAAGCGGGAAGGCAGGGGCAGATTTGTATAAAACCTTTTCTAGATTCCAACAGCAATGACCTGGAAATCCACACAGGTTAGCCACTCCGTGTGTCGGGCGGGCGGGCTGCTCTGGGGCAAATATGCTGCAAGTGATGGGTTTTAGTTTATCCAAGAGCAAAGGGATGGAGTTCAAGGTGCGCTGTGCATTTTGAGAGCAAAGGCTTGTTGAACGGCAGACAAGAAGATGAGAGTGTTCCATTCCAGTTTTGTGTTTTCCTCTGAAGGCAAAAAAAAGCAAAAAGAAAAAAAAAAACGAAAAAAAAAAAACAAACAAAACACACAAAAACAAAAACTCTCCTTAAACCTTCTGACAAGTCCCTCTAGGTCTTGAAAGGTAAGGTTCTATGCAAGGGCAAAGTTTTATAGTAGTTTATATTGCTGATTATACTTATCATTCCCTCTGTCGTCTCGAGAGTGTGTGCTGATTTCAGAGACGTCGCACATTGGAAGACTTTGCGATTGCTTTGAAAGTAGCTGAATGAGCCACAGAATAGCCTGGAATATGCATCACGGTTCTCCACCACCCCCTTTCCCAAAGGAGCCTCCTATTCTAAAATGTGAAGGATCTCCGAACATGGCCTGCCATCAATATGTTAGAAACGACGATAGTAGCAGTGACAAATCCAATTCTCCAGCTCCAACCCAGTCTGATGGTCATTGCCATTTGCAGATTGTAAATGCAAGTGGTTTTCCAAACACTTTTGGCATGGGTTAGCAACTTAGTCCTATAGCGGGGAAACTAAGACTTGGGGAGGCTCAGAGGAATGCGTTAAATCTCCAGTCTGGTTTCCAGCACCACTGAGACTTAACCCAAGTCCTCTGGCTCTGAAATTCATGGTTCCGTCCACTGGAGACCCTAACATACCAGCAAGCAGTTCAGGAAAGAAAGCATGCTAACAAATGCATGACACAGAATGTGAAGCTGAAAGAGCACGAGGAAACACGTGCGAAGCCAAGCAGCTGAGATACGCTCTTAGCTTCAGCTCAGTCCTGGTACACTGAACCAAGGTCATATCAGGCTTGCTTAGAATACTCCTTGAACTACACTATGAAGGATTGTATCCGAATTCATGTTATCCATGTGTTCACATCAGCGCTACCTACAGTATTTCCATGTATTTATATGTTATAAATACTTGATTTATACATATGCAAATGCACATATATAGTGTGTGTGTTTATGTATAAATTTATAGGCACACATTAGTAGAGATAATTATAAGTAGGGTGCACTAATGAGTAAGTTGCTTAAAATCTGCTGACTAACCAAACTTTTCAATGTCATGTTGTGGTAAGTGCTCCCATCCTCCACGTGGGTAGGCCCCATCCTGCTTTCCAACTCTGTGCAGTCCTGCATTGGAAGACAATGTGCTTCCCAAAACAACTGAATAAAAGCCATCCCACCACACCGAGTCCTTTCTCTGGGTCCTTGCACAGGCAAATGTGGTCTGAAGAGATCTCCTTATGTGAAGACCCAGGAAAGGAAATGCATTTCTTTTGTTGTCTCTTGGACACGTTTGTGTTACGCTCACTTGTCCCACTGTGAACACCCTTTACACTTGTGTTCAGAGTCCACGCATTCCAAATTGAATGTTGGGAGACCGGTGAAGGTCACTGGAAGGTCAATTTTGCCACAGCAAAATGTGAAGCTCTTAGGAATCCCCATGTCAGAGTGTGGCTAACAGGACCTGATAGTGGAAAATGCTGACCTTTTGCAATGTGTTATGACAACAGGGTTCCCTGAGTAAGAATGGACTTCTTTTTCCCACCTTGCCTTTTGCTGATTGGACAAGATAGAATACCAATAGCATAAATGAATCTCATTTCAAAGTGACTGCGTGGATACACCTGCCCTCTTCCTGCTCCTCTGTGGTATTTTCTTCTCCCCTGGTTTGAGGATATATAGTTTCAATGTTCGCATTTATTTTGCCCATATCTCACTGTTAGGGGAAGTCTCATGGGAGGAATGGATAGTGACCTAACTCCACAGGTGTCTAGGGTAGCAGTTAAAGCCAATTCTTCACAACACATAACTGGAACGTGGAGACTTGGAGGTGGTGATGGCCTGTACATGAATTTCAAACGTCGTTCTCAAGGATTGGGGCGGGAGCTATTTCTAGTTAAAATGATGGTTCAGAAAGGAGTATTCTCAGGCTGTCAGGGCTGAGATGAATCGAGTACTGCTGAAGTCAGAGGTTTTTGAATATTCTTAGTGTTTGCATCCTTTTCCTCTTCTTTTCTTTTGAGCTTTATTTATTTAATTATGTATTTATTTATTTATTGTTGCTCCATTCATTACAAACAAAGCAAAAAATTATATATATATATATATATATATAAATGTATATGTGTTGCAGGCAAAACACTGTGAATCTCACAGCCACCGCCCAGCAACTGTGTTGCCATCCTAACACACGTCTCAGGAGACCAAACAGGAAAGGATGGGATGTCATTTGTCAGTCTGTGTGTTCTAGGCCAGGTCCATGTTTATTTTATTTCTTTGGTCTGTGCATTCACAAAAATGATTCCGAGTGAAGGTTGGCTGAACACTCAACGTACTAGAGCACGCAGAATAAAAACTGCCAGTGGTCGTGGGTCCGAACAGGAGAAAAATGAAAATAATTGGGGAGAATTGCAATGCAATGTAAAAGCCTACATCTTGCAGCTTGTGTATCTTACCCTTGCTTTAAAAACGTATAAACCAGCTGGAAGTGTTTTCAATCTAAGGTCTCTGAATTAAATGTGGACTTTAAACATGTAATCCCGTAACCGATGACCAAATTATGGTGAAATATTAACTCCCTGTGCTCCTTGATCATTCCCTAGGACTTGCAAATCTGCCTAGAGATGAGGAACAGCATTTACTTCTGTGTCTGGAGAAATGTCTGTATATATCCAGGCTGTAGACACACACATTTCAATATCTCTCTGCAGATACACTTCCCCTCCAGTCGTGACCTGGTATTTCGAGCTATCTTTTCACTTGGTTCACTTTCCTTTGAATGTGACGTCTCTGTGCCAATACTTACCAGTTCTTGTTTTGCAATCTGTTTTGAGGTCCATTGCTTTACTAAGATCCACTGCATCTTGGCTGATTTCAAAGTGACACCTGAAAACAGTGTTAAAAAAATAAGTTCTGTTTGTTTATCATGTGACCAGCTTCTCTCAACCTGACATGGAAAGTCTCTTGTACTACAGTGTATTTAATAAAAATGATGTCTTACAATAAATAACATCCTCCAAAAAAAAAAAAAAAAGAGATGAGAAGTGACATGATTACTTTTTGGAAAACAGGTAGAATTTCCATGATGTGTGGGTATTTCCATGGGTATTGGTGTCTGCATTTTCAGATCTGGTCACTGCTGATGCCTATAGTGTTTGTAGCTCCAAAGTAATGAAGATAAGTGGACTTACATATCATAGCAGCTTCCCACATGAGGCTAATGCAAACGAGGTGACGGAAACTTTACCGATTTGAATTTTTATTAATTTTCAGTTACTTTGCATGTAAATATCTACACGTAGGGACAGACATTTGGCATAGAGATTAAGATGCCCACATCCATGTTGGAGTACCTGTGTTTTTTTTTTTTTTTTTTCTGACAGGCAGAGTGGACAGTGAGAGAGAGAGAGAGACAGAGAAAGGTCTTCCTTTTGCCGTTGGTTCACCCTCCAATGGCCGCCGGCACACCGCGTTGATCCGATGGCAGGAGCCAGGTGCTTCTCCTGGTCTCCCATGGGGTGCAGGACCCAAGCACCTGGGCCATCCTCCACTGCACTCCCTGGCCACAGCAGAGGGCTGGCCTGGAAGAGGGGCAACCGGGACACAATCCGGCGCCCTGACTGGGACTAGAACCCGGTGTGCCTGCGCCGCAGGTGGAGGATTAGCCTAGTGAGCCGCGGCGCCGGCCACACTTGGGTTTGATCCTCTGACTCCTCACTGCAGCTTCCTGTTACTGCAGACCAGGGAGGCAGCAGTGATGGTTCAACTGATTGGATTCCTGCTACCCAAGTGGAAGACCTGGATGGCATTCCTGGTGCCCCCAGGCTGTTGCACACATTTGAGGAGTGAGCCAGAGCATGGGAATTCTTGCTCTTCCTCACTTTCTGCTTCTCAAATAAGTACACACACACACACACACACACACACACGGCTAATGGCTATCATATTCAACACCATGGAACAAGAAAACAAAATCAGCATGATTTCTAAAAGATTAGATCTCACTGATCAAGAGAAGTGTGATGTATTGTGGCATCTCAGGGTAGGGGAAGGATCTGGATGACTCAGCCAAAATGTGTCAAACTCTTGGCCTCTCTGTGCAATGGTGTTAAAATCATGAATGTGGTTGCTGGTGGTTTGTCAGGGGTGTGGGAGCCCCAGAGAGATCTACCTATACTTTGGCTTCCCGGGATCTCACAGCCCTGTTTCCCGGTGCCTGGCCTCTACTCAACCCTCTGAGAGGCCCAGGAGCATCTGGCCAATATCCCTGGCCTTGGCTTCAGGGCCACAGGTTTGACTGTGGATGATCAGAAGCTCAGAATCCCCAGGGACTTTGTGTGTTGAATGTTTCTCGATGGTGTGAACATGTTTTTCCTTGAGTTAAAAACAAATGGGACCAGGTTCAAACAGAGCAGGCACTTGGGGAATTCAAAGCTATGTGCATATAAGGAGAGAAACCATTGTCCAGAAAATCTAAATAGGATTATGTGTCCCTATGGGATTAAAGTGTATATCCCACTCAAAAAAAAAAAAAAATCAAAGGAGAAAAGTTGAACCAGTCGTGCCTTGACCGCCAAAAGCCAATTTGGATGATTAAAAATTCTAAGTCTTGACCCAGTTTGGACAATTAAAGATTCTAAGTCTTATCAGACTATGTTTCCTAGACTATGCTTTCATAAGCCTAGTATTGGTTCTATTACAGTGCTGTCAATTTAGATTCCAAACCTGGAGTCCAGTGTTCCGGAACCCTCACCTGCTTCCTTCCACAGGCCTTTCCTCTACAAAACACCCCTTTCGTGCACTCCTAACGATGCCTAATTTCCTAGATGGGAGAAGTATGTCCAGTACTTACTAATAATCTCATCAAAACAGAGCTACTCACTTCCAGACGAACTGAATAATACAATGAAGGTTTGTTGTGTGCCGAGGTGCCAGATACATGCGTTAGTGTCCAGTGGCTGCTGTTGGCAGCAGTCCCAAGTTAGGGGCCTCAGAGCACAGAAATATGTTCTCTCTCAGTTGTGAGGTTGGGAGCCAGAGATGAAGGAGTTGCCAGAGATGCTTTCCCTCTGAAGGCTCTTGGTAGCTCTAGATAGTCCTTGGTTTCTGGCCCCATCACCCCAGTTGCTGCCCCCCCGCCTTCCACTTCCCTTCATGGGTCTTCTGTTATGATTAATCTCGTGAGAGTACCTGTGACTGCATTTCAAGCTGCCCAGATAACCCAGAATAACATCCTCCTCTCCAGATCTTAATCTTATCACACTTCTTGTCATATAAGGTCATAGTCACTACAGATAGGATCTGAACCTATCTTTTGAGGAACTGCTACACCCACTAGGATACACTAACTTACTCAACCCTCCCATCTGTCCCAGGAGGTAGGTGGTACAATTGTTATCCCCAGTGTACAGGTGAGAAAACTGGGGCACTAAGACTTCAGAAACTTGCCAAAATACCAAGTCAAAAGAAATCAACCAGAATTTGGTGTGTACGATGTGCCAGGAATTATGTGTGGTGTATTAACTAATCTAACCCTCCAACAGCCCTAGAACTTTGGTTCAGGAATGCTAGATAGAGCGCTAGATAGATTTGAAAAGCCGGTCTTTAGTATTCAAGGAGTTCTGAACCAAATTCGTGTCCTACAGAGCTCCATGGAAACCAGTTACAGCCCTGTGCTTAAGGAAATTAATCCACCAATCCTGATCACCTAAGAAACGGGAACTCCAGCCCCCTGTTAGGCCAGAAGAACAGCTGGTGGGTTTCCAACCATACATTCTCACGAGGCTTATTTTGCTGCCGCTTGCTATAACAGGCGAGGCTGAGATCCAGCCAGTGACAGAGAAAAGGGAGCTGTCAGGATGCAGCAGAGAGTGGGCTTCAGCCACTTCATTACGAAATCTTAGCTCCCTGTCATTGTCACTGCAGGGATGTGGTTAGTACTTGCCTCATCACACAACTTAAAAGACCCACAGCCCCACGGTCAAGGTCCCCCGGAGAAGTCTAAATTCAGTCCTGCCAGACTGCTGTGTGCAATCCCAAAGAGCCATGGGAGTCACACGTGCCAGCAACTGATCCTTGTCCCTGACGAGACTTCCTCAAAATCAAGCCATTCTGGAGTCAACCCTGCAGGTGTGCTGTGTGTATGCCGAGGCATTTGTTGTTGAGTGATAATGCTGCCTTTTTTAAATTTCTTACATTTGTATTGGAAATTTCATACAAGTGAAATGTGAACTTGATACAGGCTGGTATTCTAGTGTCTTTGGCTCACTGATGGTTCCTCAGAGGAAGATGGTGCTGGAGGAATTGATGGGTGAATGGATGGGTTTGAGATATGAGGCTGTGAAACTAGACAGCTCGTTATGATAGAATGGTGTCTCTATTTAGAAACAGGGAGTGGATAGCTTTAGGACAAGTCATTCTAATCCTCCCTCATAAGCCTTAGATTCCTCACTTATCAACTGTTCAACAGAAGGATTTTCTCTGGATTCAAATGAGCTCATCCACGCTTTGCAACCATAAAGCAAAATATTAGTATTAATTATCAGTAGTATTAAGGACTTCAAATGCTCCTACAGGTAAACAGAGCCACTGTTCTTTCTGACTCAGTTTGGGGATCTCAGAAAACCCCCAGAAGAAGCAGGGTATCATGTGTGAGAAAAGAAAGAGCTGGACCTTAGCTCTCAGGTGGACAGGTGAGTGACCACAGTGGCTTCCTATTGGACAAGAACCTATTGTTTTCAGAATTAGGAGGTTAAGCGTTACTTGGAGAGCACCACCTCTCTCTCTACACTTGCTGGAAATGAGATGATTATGGCCAAATAAGAGATCATTAAAATAACTCTGTGGCATCTTGGCTATGATGGTTATTTTTTTTTCAATTCAGCTTGAACGGGTGATTTTTCTATAGTGAACTTTTTAAAAGCACTTTTCAAAGTTCTTGAATGTTTCCTTATTTGAGAGGACAGGACTTGTTTGTAGACAAATAGTGACCTTGGCTTTGGGGGTTCAATGAAGCTTGAGAGATGAGAACATGGACTGCAGTAGAGGTGCAGGAGGATCCAAACGGTCCCCCCTTGGATCTCCAGGAGTGTCTCCGACTGCGGAGACTGGGTCGGGGTGTGTGTGTGGGGGAGAAATTGCGTGGGTTTCCTTGCTGGGGATGCAGCACCACTGAGAGGAAATTTATTTGAACACCTCCCCCCAAACACCCAGACCTACCAGTCCATTTGCATTTCACAGTACTTCCTTAGCAAGGACTTCCTGGTGCTGAACCAACATCTGCCTCCTCCGAACTACTGCCCATGGGCTCGGGTCTCCTGGGAGTGCACAGAATGACTCTTATTCATGATGAGTTGGCATCCTTTTATGACTCTCTTGTGCCCTTCCTCTCTCATCCCCCCTTCTCCCCACCGAACACTCTGGAGAGCTTGCCAAGTGCCCAGAAGAAAGGGCAAAGACCCAAGCTCCGCCTGGTAAAGCTGCCGCCCAGCCCACAGTTCCCTGTTCCTCACCTATTCCCCAGCCTTCATCTCATGCTTGGCACAAGGGCAAAAGAACTTTCTAAGGAGGCAGAGAGATTAACGGTGAGGTGCCTCTCCTCTTCTGCAGAAAACATACATCATCAATGGGCTCAACACAATGAATGGAGCCCCTCACTGCTGTGATCTGTGGAATCTCTCTTGGTGCTCTGAAAAAAAACAAAAAACAAAAAACAAAAAACAAAAAACAAAAAACAAAAAACAAAACAGGGGATATTAGGGCAGCTGGGTGGTCCAAGAGACAGAGCACATTGCCAACAGCCAGTGATGGGGATGCGGCTGGTGTTCACTAACATAAAGGTAGCCTTAATTTTTTTTCCTAAGGCAATCTGCTTGCACAATGACCAGGCACTGCATTCATAACACAGGATGTTAAGTGTGTGAGGTTGGTGTCACTGGGGATGTTCAAGAACAAAACAAGACAGACACTCGTGGGAGTGCTTAGAGAGCATTTTTCTCACCGTGCAAAGGTTCGACCTGGGAGACCACGTAGCATTCAGAGGACATAGCCATTGGGAAAGCACTTTTCCGGAGCGATAGGGGGCCATTTTCCCTAGAGCTGCAGACACGGGGTGGAGGACAGAGGACAAGGACCCCATGCACCTGCAGGTGTGGATCGATGCCTACCAAGGGCTGGTGGCACAACATCTCAAAATCACTTGTGGAATAAATGAATACATTTCTCAGGCATGCAGTGGAAAGAATACAGTATGTTCTGTGCATCCTTTTCACATTCCACATTCCAAAGCACATTAACATACATTACAGCATCCTCTTTCCTAGTATCCTTAGGAGGGTAGAGGACGGGCCTCCCTCCCTTCTCCTTAGCAAGTAAGAGTGAGGTCCCCCAGAGTTAGTGACAGAGCTGCACCTGGAAGGTGAGTTTCCCAACTCTTGATAGAATTGCAGGGCCCTCAACCATCTGGCCAGTGCTTCCCTGATTTTATTATTTTATTCTATTATTTTATTACTGTATCAGCATACAGTGTCGCATATCCTAAATGTCCTGCCTGCCTTCCTTAGTTAAAAGAAAGCCACATTATTAAAATATGGACTTTTGAATAGGCTAAGTATTGCATGACAAGTGTGACTAAAAGGAAAGTGTAAAGAAGATTTGTTTATTTGAAAAGCAGAGTGAGAGTAAGAGAGAGAGAGAGACAGAGACAGAGAGAGAGAGAGAGAGAGAGAGAGGAATTTCTGCCATCTGCTGGTTCACTCCCCCAAATGGCTGCACTGGTGGGGACTGGGCCAAGCAGAAGCCAGGAGGAGTAAGGGACTCCCTCTGGGTCTTCCACATGGCTGGCCAGAGCCCACGTTCTTGGGCTATCCTATGCTGCTTTCTCAGGCCATTAGCAGGGAGCTGAATTAGAAGTGGAGTAGTGGGGACTTGAACCAGAATTCTGGTATACAATACAAGTGTTGCAAGCACTGGGTTCACCCGCTGGGTCACAACATCAGCCCTGAAAATAACAAATTTAAAAGTAAGTTGCTCCATTTCCCAATCTGCTCTTCAAGACTTTCAGCAATAAGTATCTGAGTAGATACTTTTTTTTTTTGACAGGCAGAGTGGACAGTGAGAGAGACAGACAGAGAGAAAGGTCTTCCTTTGCCGTTGGTTCACACTCCAATGGCCGCCGCGGCTGGCGCACTGCAGCCGGTGCACCGCGCTGATCCAATGGCAGGAGCCAGGTACTTCTCCTGGTCTCCCATGGGGTGCAGGGCCCAAGCACTTGGGCCATCCTCCACTGCACTCCCTGGCCACAGCAGAGAGCTGGCCTGGAAGAGGGGCAACTGGGACAGAATCCAGTGCCCCGACAGGGACTAGAACCTGGTGTGCCGGCGCCGCAAGGCGGAGGATTATCCTATGAGCCGCGGCGCCGGCCCTGAGTGGATACTTTTAAAAGTGTAAAATGTAGGAGCCAATGCTGTGGCACAGTGGATAAAGCCGCCACCTGCGACACTGGCATCCTGTGTGGGCACAGACCAGTCCATGTCCTGACTGCTCCACCTCCAATTCAGCTCCCTGCTAATGGCTTTGGAAAAGCAGAAGATGTCCCAAGTGCTTGGGCCTTTGCCGCACACATGGGAGACCTGGATGAAGCTCCTGGTTCCTGGCTTTATCCTGGCACAGCCCTGGCTATTGCAACCATCTGGGGAGTGAACCAATAAATAGAAGACCTCTCTCTCTCTCTCTCTCTCTCTCTCTCTCTCTTTCTCCCTCCCGCTTCCTCCCTCTCTCCCTCCCTTCCTCTCTGTAACACTGAATCCCAAAGAAATAAATCTTTTTTTATAAAAGTGTAAAATGAACATCTTGCTTGTTAATAAAAAGAGGGAATTGAATACCTCCACAAAGAAATGATCCGGCATTGCCCCTTTGCTACAAGAAGAAAGACTCCAAGAAAATTGGAGACTGGAGAGTATAGCTTAGGGATATACAAAGCTCAACCCTGTCAGGTTACTGAAGCACAAAAGGGTCGTGAAGAGCTGCGCAGCTGTTGGAGGCAGGGCTGTGTCTCATCCCAGCTCCCTAACATTCAAAAGCCTGCAGCTGCGGGCCTGACTGCGTATTTCACTGGCTCCCTGCAGCGGAAGCAGGCATTTTCATCACCGTGGCGTGTGTGAACACGTGTGTATCTCTTCAAGTGTGTGCGTGTGTGTGTGTGCAGGCACGCTCTGTTTTCTCATCTATACCTATCCCAAAACAAGATTTGACCCTATCGCCAAGTACTATAAAGGACATGCACTGGCATTTTTTAAAAAAAATGTACAAAGAAGAATTTAAAAGTCTTTTCCCTAGCCTTGCTGTCTCTCCACAGTAAGAACGGAAAACCATGTTAAGCTGCTTCCTAAATCCCACTCCTTTCTAGATCCCACTCGGTAAATCGGCCCCAACTAGCAAGGTGGAGAACGAGAAAAAACTCGGGAAAACTGTAAACAGGTCCCCAGCCCTATGCCTCCCTTGCCCCCCCCCCCCCAGCTGCATTCCTGGCTCTCAGACCCGCTGCCCTCATGGGACACGGCTCAGCCCTTCATCATCCTACCTACCCTCTCACGTCTTTGGAAAGAGATATTTTGGGAACCAGCACACGCACATCCAGACACCAATTACTCAACCTCACAGCAAGGATGGAGATGATGGAAGTGTGGCTCTCCGGTCTCCTAGCAACGGCGTAGGGGGAGGCTGCGCCTGTTGCCGGGCACCGCCCTGCGTAGCAGGCTCTTGCGTATTTCGCTTGTGCTGTCTTTGTCGGCCATTTCTAAAACGGGCTCTGTGTTGGAGGCTCTTAAGCTGTTCTCTTAAAAGAGCTCTGCTGACATCCACAGGTCCTATAATTAACATCTCAAGCCTTCACGGGCCGGAAGTATTCCGTCACCCCTAAAAATACAGAGCCCCCTTTTTTGGTCTTCCTCCTGGGGTGTTAGTAGGAAACCGTGCATCCTGTCCCTTGCTTCCTACACATGTTCACCAAAGATGTGGACATTCAAGCACTTCTTCTTCTATTTTTAATACCTAATCATGAACTCTGTCCTTAAAATAATGATGATAAAAATAATAAAAAGAGAGTACAGTGATGGAAAATCTTAGCTTACTTCTTAACCCAAGAAAAAGCTATGGCCAAACTCCACACCTGCTGTCCCAGTGCTCCAGAATCCCCAATTCTGCCCCAGCCCACCCCTGCACACATACATGGCAAGTGTGTTGCTGACAAAGGGAACGTCTGACAAGCTGGAGTAGGAATTGATTACACGAGGCGAGGGACGTGAGAGTGAGCACAGTAGCCGACCTCCCCAACTGGAAATGCCCAGGACCGCAGGAAAGAAGGCTGCTGAGTGGAAAGGCAGCTGTGGCTGTAATTTATGGCAGAGGGGTATTTGGGAAAAGAGAAACAGAGGTGGGGCCAGAAACAGAGGGGAGACTTCCACCGCCCAGAACAGAAAACTCTCCAAGTACCAGGAGTAAGAAACGATGGCTGAGACAAGAGGCTCTGGTCTCAATCTTGCAAATTTTATTCGAGCCTGAATCAGAGGTGATTCCTCCAACAGACAGGAAACCCTTCATTCTTCCTCTGCCTGTCTGTGCCCTGGTTTGCCCTTCCTTGGGCCAGGAGGTTTGCAGGGCAGAACCCTTTCTGTCGGCCGCCTCTCGGGCCCCCCCGGCATATCACACTGAGTCTTCCAGGCTGCTCCTTTCTAACCCTTCCAAGGAGGCTCCTGAGAGGGGGTGGCCATCTTGCTTCCACATGGAGTCGAAGCCTGGACTCTTTAGCTCATGAATCTTTATAAGCAGGGCCAAATTCTCCTTGGAAAGGAAGGATGGAGTGATTTTTCGCCCTGGCTCTGAATCACAGGACAAGTTATATGGTGAGGCACACAGCCACTTCTGGTCACTTCTGGGCCTGACTCAGGGACCAGACCAAGTGCAGGCCATTAAGGCAAGCCCAGAGATGGCAAGAAGAAAGGTGGGCAGAAAGCCGAAGAAAACAGAGGGGATTCTGGTCTGGTTGTGCTTTTTGGTTACTTTCCAGAAGGGAGGAATTGAGTAGAAAGGATGTGACTTTTTTTTTTTTTTAAGAAAAATCCAAAAGAAATTCCTATAAGAAAAAGTTTAGCTTCTGCAGGCCTCTTTCTAGTACTTTCCATCTCTACAGACAGGGACTCCAGAAAGCCTCCTGGTTTAGCTGTCCACTTCCCTGTGAGGATGCTGGACTCTGCTGGTTTGACAGGGAAGGGTGGCCCACACCTCCTGTCACATGTCCCCTGTAGCACTTGTTCACCCGTGCTCTCTGAGAGCACCCATGTGGGTAGTCAGGGACCAAGATCCCAATGTGGGGAAGCCCCTCAGGCCAGAGGCAGAGCCAGGCAGGACTTTGCCCAGGGCTCTGGACTCAAGGACAATTCTAAAGTCACTCTGGCTCTCTGAAGGCTGAAATCAGCTTGTCTTTCTGTGAGCTTAATCCACAGGTTCAAATCCAACAAGGGCCGGGGCCACAGTGCCGACCCAGGGAGCAAAGTGACCTTGAAAATGATCTTTCTTCTACCATTTTGCTGAGGCCTGGTACTGTGTTAAGTTCTGTGAGCAGCCTCCTGAGGACTTCCAGTTTCATGGAAAAATAGAGCGAGGAGCAGAGCACGGTCCTCCACTCTGTTATTTCCGATCCTTATGTCGTCATTTGTCTGAAGTTCTGCATGTTCAAGTTCTGCTCTGACACAGGCCTTTATCAGGAGCCCAGTTACCATGGCAGTGCCCCCAAAATAGAACAAGCCCAACACACATCAATAGACGGTACAAGAAATAGAATAAATACTACCTACGATGCATTATTTGGTTTACGCTGGGTAGTAATTTGTGCAGAGAGTTGAAAATAACTACACCTCCTCCCCCCTTCATTTAATTAAAGGGAAACAATTCCACAAACGGAAATGCTCCGTGTTTGTCTCAGAACGGAACTCGAGTTGCCATGCGATTAAGAGGCCAGGATCATGGCTGAATTTGCCAGGGAAGAACCAGCACGTTAAAGCAAGGACCACACAGAGAACTGCTCCAAAGCACCCTCTCCTCCCCTTCATCTCGCAGTATAGTTTGGTTGGAAGCACCAGCTTGGCACGCACCAACCACAGCCCCTAAGAAACTACCATTTTGTTTCCCCGTGGGTAAGTTGAGCATTCCTCTCGGTTTGTCCATGACCATCCTGGTTTACCCCTAACGACCCATGATACTCTCAGTTCTCATGCATTGCAGCAAAAGCCACACAGGCACTCTCGTTACAGGTAACCATGGGTGGGAAGGACACCTCTGAAGAAAAAATGTCCAAAACACACTCTGAGAAAGAAGATACCCGTCTTTGCCATAGATAGCTCCATGACTGCTGCATAGTGTGAGCTGTTTGTAAATGTTCAACTTGGGGTCTCCAGTCTCTTTCCTTCCAGAAGGCCCCCAATCTCAGACCCAGTAAGCAACTGGCCCACTGATCCACTCACTGCCTGCCTTCCAGAAGTAACTTTGCTTCCGACCCTCCTAAAGTCCCTTAGCCTCAGCCTCACAATTACATGCGTAAAGGTAAGACTAATGCTCTGTACTTTAACTTTCTTGCTGTGAAAACTGAATAATGTTATGTAGGCACAAGTGCCCAACACATCATGTAACTCTCTGATGGGACTGATTGTTAGTGTCTGTTTCTTATTTTTTCATACAATAGTTGAAGCTATCATGGCAGACTGAAGAGAGACAGTCTGTGGAATCAGTCAGACCTATAAGAGATGACTCTGGACAAGCTACTTAACCTCTGAGTCTCCCCAGCCCAAGTTTTGAAAGTAAGCATCAGTCAAAACATCTCACAAGGTGTTGCAAGGAATAACAGATGGCAAATGTAAGTCCCCTGGCATAGATGCTGGTACTTAGTAGACACTTGTCACAGGATAGAGTCTCTGGGAAGCATACCCTGGGAGGAAGATCAGAACATAGAATGTTTACTATTGGGAGCAAGACTTGCAGAAGAGAAGAGAATGAAGCAGGATGGAGCAGAAGGAGAAATTGAACTGCAATGGAGCTGAATGACAGTGTCAGGCGACCCTGAAAATGATCTCTGACATTGCAATGCCCTTTCAACAGCTTCCTGAATTTGGCCAAGACACCTAGTGGTTGGATGGGGGTTGTCCCTGGAAGGTACATGAACTTGGGCAGGGTGGCTGTATGAGGCTGAAGCCATCTGTGAAGGTTCTGACAGCTACAGACTAGCTGCTACACTTCCAGGAGCCAGAGGGGTGAGTCCTTCAATGAAGGGGTATTGGGGGAGGCCACATCTCTGTGTCCACCACAGTGCACACTTTTCACTACTTGAGCCACTGTTTCAGACATATTCACAGAATTGCTGGCTGGGATTCCAGTGGGCCTCTCTTCCTGGGAAAAGCTCAGGAGGGAAAGATTTATGGGTCAATATATGGTCATTGCCACCCTAGTAGGTCTCAGTGGTACAATCACACACATCACCTTCCTCCTCTGTCGACTTTCCCAGAATCCCCTTTAGCCTGGTTGCTATCTCTGCTGGTGCCATGTCACTCCTCTTTCCTAGTCACCATGCCCTGCTTAGCATGCACTTGTTTATTAATAATCAAAATTGGGTAAGGAAGAATCCAAAGCACCCAATAGGTCAACCGATTACTAGACAAATTTCTCCCTGCCCCATTGTTTAAGATCGAGCTACCTCTTCTTGAAAATTGTGGCACACTTTCTGTCAACACAAGATATTCCAAGTGCCCAGGTAGAAGCTATAGCTTATAATTTATTGAGGCTCTTCCCGTGTAGCCCTAACGAAACAGCTATCCTTTTTGGAACTGAAACCTCTAACCCTACAGAAACTGGTGTTACAAAAGTAATGTTGCAGGTGATTGGAAGCATGAATTATCAGAGTCACCGAGAGAAATGATAATAACAGCCTCTCTTGTTCCCACCTTTCACTCCTCCAGACTCAGCATTCTTTGTGTTGTAAACATAGAAGGACTTAACAGTTTTTGAATTAAAGTAGATGCTACCTCTTGAAGAATAGCAGTATGATCTTGTCACAGATCACTGGCACTTCCACTGAGTCTTTGCTAGGCATTTCCAGGACTCTAAGAGGTCAGGTGCTTCTGGATGGTCAGTTCAGGTCCAGGCTGGGTACTTCTGGATATCATGAATGAATCTCATAATCACAGCTGCTTTGCTGAAAGTGGGTCCTCTGATTGAGTGCAATGCTCTTTGGGATTAACCAGGAAGGTGGGTCAGACTTGGAATTTTTTGGAAAGTGGTGATGTTTGATGCCCTTCGGGCATGAAAAGTACACTCCTATCAGGAATGTGTGACTAATCCTATCAGAATGAGTCAGTAAGCCTTCGAGGCTGTAGGGGACCCAATGAAGCAAACTTGACACCAAGTGGTGCTTTGTCTTCTTGAAGAAAGATTCAGGATTGGCCTCTGTAACTGGCAGCTGGGAGGTCCGTTAGGTGATGGAGGTGACATATCAGCCTTGGCGAGTTACGGGGCATGTAGATGGTGCAGGCAGAGTCTCCATGCCTGTCACAAAGGAGATTTCACTCATGTGTCCTTTGTGACACCACTGCAATGGCTGATGATACAGCCTGGCTGGGGAGAGGGGACTGGAGCTTTTTGTCAGCTTGCTAGTTCCGTGCTCTTTGGGGATGGATGGTCTCCAAAGGGCACTGAGATGTACTCATTATCCAAGGACTGCCTCTCAAATCTATCCTTTCTTCAAATCTACTTTTACTTAAGAGAAGTTTTTAATTTAAGGAATAATTGTGAAGGTATTACAGAAAACTCCTATTTACCCATCGCCCAAACTCCTCTGTAATAAATCTCTACCTTATTATAGTGTGTTTGTCACAATTAATGAACCAACTTTGATACATTATGATTAACATTATGGGG